GTACGTGTCCTGTAACATGTCTGTACCGTACCCCATACACACCTAGTTGGCGACGATGTCTATACGTGAGAGACCACTCTCCCTCTTCCAGTTATTTTACTCGCACTGGGCAATTTTGGATTGGCTGAGTACCATAATATAGAGGTGGTAGGTGCTGTCTGTCATAATCTGCATCAAAAGTCAGGTAATCACCTTGACCTGACATCACTCCTAAAATATTATCATTCCAGTCTGTTTTCCTTTGTGTTTAAACTTTACATTCCATGTTAAATACGTACGTGCATTTCAGTGTCTTCCTCTTCCTAAATGATCTATGTCTCTGAAAATTAAACCTCGTCAGTGATATTATGACAGTTAAGTACTAAATAATTTAAAAAATAATAACTGAATTCGCTGGTAAACGGATGTTCAAAAGGCTTCAAAGCACTTTCACCTCTAAATCTGATTATAAAAATTTATGTCTATGAAACTACAAGGTCAACAAGGTGTGTAAACGGATAAATTAGACACATGTGCAACTCTTGGGTATCTTTACTGAGGAAACGTTTCGCCACACAGTGGCTGCATCAGTCCATACATAGGAGAAACTTGAAGAACAGGAGGAGAATGAGGTAATCAGTCCCTCAACCTTGAGTCGATGTGCTCAGTCCATCAGTCAAGAGTTGCACATGTGTCTAATTTATCAACATGTCGGTTCTCTGAACCATTCATCTACAAACCTGTCAGACACTGCAACTTCTTGGGATCTTAATACTTAGGAATTCTTCGCTTGCCTAATTCTTGGGCACGACCTACTTCCACATTGAACAAATGTAACACCACCTATGACTGCTGCACCTCTCCTGCCATACGGTTTATAAGCTGCTTCTCCGCTCATCTGCCGTATTCTACTCAAGATTGATGGACTGAACACATCGACTCAAGGTTGAGGGACTGATTACCTCATTCTCCTCCTGTTCTTCAAGTTTCTCCTATGTATGGACTGATGAAGCCACTGTGTGGCGAAACGTTTCTTCAATAAAGATACCCAAGAGTTGCACATGTGTCTAATTTATCAACCTGTCGGTTCTCTGAACCATTCATCTACAAAGTGTGTAAACGGAAATGATTAATCAAAAACTTGGAAATGAAATCATGCAACAAAACGCCCATCAGTATCTAAGCCACGTAATTTATATACGAACATTAAACTACTAATAAATAGAGACACAGAACATACCGGAAATTAATTTTGTCAACCAGTCACCATCTCCGTTACATTAATTCATTCATGAAAATAGTCTGTACTCCTCTGTTTACTATGTCTGGGTTGCCATGTATCAATTCTCCCCTGCAGAGTGTGTCAGGAAACTTTTATCCCCAACTATACGTCCTAAGGACTAGCATACAGCATGAATCGCTCCTTTAAATGATGGGATAGTAGACAAGGAAGAGTTTTAGAATTATTGAAAATAAGTCTTAGTATTCCGTGCAAAGTGAATGACAAATTTGCAATATTCTTGAAAGAGTTAAGAGTTACACAGAAAGTAAAATTGCAGGGGAACTAGGAGGGTTTTGTAAGGGTAGAATATGTGTAGGTAGAGTTTTTACATTGAAGGATGTAAGTATTCATGTATTTGGGAGTGAACATGTTCGTGAATGGGTCTTTGAAAGACAAGGTGAGCCATAGAATAGGTGAGTGGGGAAATAGTAGGTGGAGTGTTGAGGCATATATGGAAAACAAGAAGTTTTTATTCCAAAGCAAATAAGATAATGTACCTGAGCACAGAGAAACAAACACTTTTATATAGGTATATGACATAGGTTTTAAATATTACAATAAGGGTGGAGGGACTAGAGATGTCATGGTATGAGCAGTGGGTTTGTGAATATTTTGCAGAAAATTCGGAGCACAGAAATTAGAAGACGGTGTTCCACGACCAAACGTATAATTCAGAGCGCTGAGGAGGGGTTGATGAGGAGTTCTGGAAATTTAGAAAGGATGGAAAAAATAGGATGAATAAAAGAGAATATAAAGCAGAGGTGGAAGAAATCAGAAAAAATGGTCGTTCCAGGAATGAATGGAGAGAGTGAGGGTAAAGGAGGTTTTCACTGATGGAGAATTGAGCAACATGTAACAGGCTATTGTGAGTGCGTTAGATCGGAGTGAATGTAGACTACTGGTTTTATGACTTAACGTGTAACTGGACCGTGAGTAAAGTAACATTTCTTAAGACATTCAGGGAAACCGGATAGCAAGAGTTGAGTCCTGAAGGAGGGAGGATCATCTGAAATGGGATGTCTCCACATCTTCTGTTAAAACAGATATTAAATGAATATTAATGAATGTGTTTCCTTTCTCTTCATCAACCAACCTGGGGGGAGGGGGGGGGAGAGAAAACCAATGTG